TTTTTTCGAATTTTATCTCAATTCCCGTTCAAAAATGTCCAAATCCTATGTTTACAATTCGACCATAATTTATTTTATTTTTTTTGCTTCTCTTTTTTTTTTCTTTTTTAAATTCTTTTTCCATTTCTCATCCAAAATTTTCCCAAGCCTAGAGAATTTCAAATCCGACAATGTTTATTATTTTCCTATATATATATTTTTTTTTCAATTTTTTTTTTCGAAGTTGTATGCCTCTTCCCGTCCAGAAATTTCCAAATTGTAGGGTATTTACAATTCGACCATATATTTTTTTTAATTTTTTTTATTTCTTTATTTTTATTTTTTAATTTTTTTCCATTTCTCATCCAAAAATTTCCCAATGCTAGAGTATTTCGAATCCGACAATGTTTATTATTTTCCTATATATATATATATATTTTTTTTTTTGAAGTTCTTCTGTCCTGAAATTTCCAAATTCTAGGGTATTTTGAATTCGAATTTATCGATTTTTTTAGTTTTTTTTTTCAATTCCCATCCAAAAAGTTCCCTAATCAATGTTGGGTGTATGTGCACCCAGCACTGGTGTGGGTGACAGTGGATTAATTTTTAACCACAACAACAATCATTTATTTTTGTTGTTGTATTTTTTTAATACTGTTTAATTACAATCGCTTATGATATATTAAACAGACATTAAGAAGCGCCTACTGCAACGCTACCAGTCATCACCAGCAGCAGCAACAACAACAACAAAGCCACCAACAATAAATGAATAACCAATAAAAGCTCGGTGTAATTTTAAATACAACGCCATAGCCCGGCCGAACAAGCAATGGGGAGCTGTCATAGCTGTTTAAATATTCATCAATAAAATAAACATAATTATATTTGTTGGCTCAGCGACAATACAAAAAAAAGCTATGGCTGTGGGGTGGGCTGATGGAATTTAATACCACCAACAACCAACAGCCCCACCCCACCCACTCACTCAGCCGCCCGCAATGTGGCGTTTAAGCAAATAGCCAACTACACCATTATCATCGCCACCATGACCATCACTAAAGTAGGTACCGCACAACAATTCACAAGCCAGCTTGAAACATATCCGCCATGCCCTGGGCCCAGCTCTAAGGCAGGGCCGAGACCAGACCTGAGAGAGAAAAACTTAATATTCTGTTCATTAATATCTGGTAACTTTATAAATTATCGCTTGAAAAAGATCAGCGGAACATTGAAGTGTTGTTTTTTTAAATTTACAAACGCATGGCTACATGCACACATACCTAAACATATATAGATGGACATACATACATATGCATAGAATTTGTAGACATTCATAGAAATTTAAAAAAAATGCCTGGGTGGTCGCTTGGTTGGTATTGGTGGGCTGAGAGTGAATTTTAGCGGGAATATTGAAAATGAAATTGAAATCAATTTCATTCAAAACCAAGCTTATATTCAATGAACAAAAATTGACATACACATAAATAGACATACATATATACCAATAGGATCGGAAGTTAAGGAGGAGGGAAAATAAAATGTGGAACAATTTCAAAAACCTCTGAGCAAAAATTTGTTTTATATTCTAACAGCACTATATGTTGAGGGCATTGTAAGTCAAATTGGTCCAAACAAAAAAAAAAAAAAAATTGAAATACCTCGAAATATTTCTGAGTCCATTTTATTCTCTAAAGATTAGTGAAAAAACTGATCGATAGATTGATCGGAAATCAACGCCCAAAGGAAATGGATGACACTAGAATTTTTTAAATTTTGCACGGGGGTCAGTCTTACTGCATGGGTGTTATATGGCTCGGTTTTTGGAATTTCATACTAAAAGGGTACGAAAAGTACTAAAATGTACTAAAACTTTTATACTTCGTATTGGACAAGCGGTATGAGCTAGAATTTCAAAGTTTGAATGAGTGTCGTTCTTGGAATGCAGGATAGACGTAACAAAGTGTTTTTGTTAATTCGAACTTAAAGGTTACGAAAAGTTCTAAAATAGTACCAAACGTCTAAAATGGTACAAATTTGTACTATATTAACAGATGGAGCAAAAAACTTGAAATTTGGTATGGGAATCAAGGTTGGAAAGTATGTTTAATATACAGGAAGGTGGTTTTGGAAATGTGTACTAAGTGTGTGCATGAACTGTGCTAAAAGGTACTAAACTTGGAACAGTTTGGTTTAGGCTGAACGGATGAAGCTGGAAGTTTGAAATTTTGTAATGCGGTCCCTTTTGGTGGTAAATTTGCGATAAAAAGATGGTTTTGGAAAGGTGTACTACAAGTGTACGAAAAGTACTAAATATTACTATATTTTGTACAATTTGGTATTGGGTGAACAAATAGTACTTGAAATCAGAAATTTGGTATTATGATCGCTGTCCATATGTAGCCTGGACACATGGAGATGTTTTCGGAAATGTGTACTGCATATGTACGAAAAGTACTAAATGGTACTATACATGGTGAACAAAAATTGAAACAAAGTTGAACACCATAATTTTTAAATTTTTTTAATTTAATTTAAGCAAAAAAATTCCGGAAAAAGGATCAAATTTTAGAATAAGTTTAGATTTGTTCGAATTTGTCACCTTTGGCACGAATTATGGCCTTCAAACAGCCAATGAAACCGTCACACGCTGCCCGAATGCTGCTCTGCGGTATTTTGGCATATTTCCTTCGGTTGATTGAGGTGATCCACACTTTGGTATCTTTTAGTGCCAGCCTTGCTTTCCAAAATAATCCAGACACAACGGATTGGTATCCGGAGATTTTGGTGGACATTGTGCGCTGGAAATGAAGCGAGGAACCTCATTTTGTAACCATTCTTGGGTGGCACGTGCTGAGTGCGATGCTGCTGAGTCCTGTTGGAATATCCAAGGTGTGCGTCAAAAATGCTTGCGTGCCCAAGGCTTTAATACACCCTCAAGAATATTTTCTCGATAATATTCGACATTTATTTTAATGCCACGGTCGATTAATATGAGCAGAGAGCGACTCTCGGCTGTTATGGCGGCCCACATCATCACCATCACCATGGCCGGCGCTAGAGTTCTGGTGGCCAACCGAAGGTGCATATTTTCAGCTGACCTCCTTGGCAAGTAAACACGACCATTTTGTTTGATTACAAACTGCTGGACAATGAATGTTTTCTCATCGGAGAAAACCACCACTTTCGTCCAAGCAAAGCAACTCTTTAGCTCTTTTGAGAAATTTGATGTAGATGTCACTATGAGGAACTGAAATTGAGATATGGATGTGGTTTTGGGAATGTGTACCACAATTGTATGAAAAGAACTAAATGATACTAAATTTGGTTTTGGGGAAGGGATTGGGCTGGAATCCTCAAATTTGATATAGAAGTCACTATTAGAGACTGCAATTGAGATATGGAATTTTTTTTTGAAAATGTGTACTTTAATTGTTCGAAAAGTACTAACTGGTACTAAATTAGGTATAGGGTGAAAAGAGCTGGAATACCGAAATTTGATGTTGGTACTTGGAATTAAGAAATGGATGTAACTATTGGTGTCTTTGATGAAGATATGAAGTTAGTTTGGAAATGTGTACTATATGTGTTTGAAAAGTACTAAGTGGTACTAAATTGGGTATTGGGTGAAGGGGAAGAGCTGGAATGCCGAAATTAGATATTAGTAGCTGGTATTGAGAAATGGAGATGATGTTGTCATTGTGTACTATAATTTACGAAACATATAAAATAATACTAAATTTGGTTTTGGGTGAAGGAATAGACCAGAAATCCTGAAATTGTATATGAATGTCAGTTGTGTTGTCTGTGGTTTGAAAAGTACCATACCAATACTTAGTATTGGGAATGCGAAATTTTGATATTGCTACCTGAAATTGAGAAATGCAGTGGGTTTTGATTATATGTACAAAAATTACGAAACGTACAAAATAGTACTATTTTTAGCATTGGCTGAAGGGATGGGGTTAAAATTTTGAAATTTTATATGGATGTTACTGTTAGTGTCTAATGTTGAAAGAAAGGTACATGTTTTGGATATGCGTACTATAATTCTACTAAATGTTACTAAATTTGACATTAAGTGAATATATAGAGCTGGAGTCTCAAAATATGAAATTAAGGTCTCTGTTGGTATCTGATATTGAATTCTGCTGGTGGTTTTGCAAATGTGTACTATATTTGTTCAAAAAGTACTAAATTTGGTATTGAGTGAAGGAGTAGAGCTAAGATCCTCTTTGGTTGAGAAGAAGGTGGTGGTTTTGGTTTCGCGTACTATAAGTGTACTAAATGGTACTAAATTTGTATAATGGCGGAAATTACAGAGCTGAAATCCTTAATTTTGATATTTAATATTGAGGACTCTGTTGGTATCTAGAATTGAGATTGTGTGAAAGGATAGATTTCAAAGTAGAAAATTTCAACATACGCTGAAGAAGTAGCGGCAAAATAAAATGATATTAGTTTCAGATTTTTAGATTTTGACAATTCTCACCAATTCAAGATGGACACTTGGCCGAAAAAACAAAAAAAAAAAAAAAATCAAAAAAAAAAAATATTGTTTTATTTTTTTCATAGTTTTATTTATTTTAAATTTAATATTAAAATATACGTATATACATGGATTTCTTAATTTTTTTGATAGACCCAATGCCAGTTCTGTATTTTTTTAAGATATATTTTTTTAATTTTTAACGTTTCTTCTTGCTTTAAAATAATATTTTTCCTTTTTTTTAATTTCAATTTTTTGGAATTGTACCAAAAAAAAAACCGAAAAACAAAAAAATCTAAAAAAATATTGTTTTATTTTTTGTCACAGTTTTATTTATTTTAAATTTAAAATTAAAAAAAAAAATAAAATATATGTATATACATGGATTTCTTAAAAATTCTTTAATGGACCCAATGCCAGTTCTTTTTTTTATTTTTTTTATTATTTTTTTTTTTGTAAGATATTTTTTTTAATTTTTAACGTTTCATTCTTTGCATTAAAATCATTTCTTTTCTTCTTTTTTTTTTCAATTTCAAATTTTCGGAATTGTACCCCCCTGCGTCTCAGTTGCAATGACCAATTCATTATTTTTATAAATTTTAAAAATTAACGAAAAATTCATCAATGGTGCATAGGCTGGTATTGTTTCTGATGTCACCGTATAATTGTTGATATAATATAAGAAATTCTAAAAATAAAGAAAATAATAAAAAATCATTTTCTTCATTTAAAAACAACCTACTCACCCCCTTTAGTGGACAATTGTAAGGTAAGTTGCTCGTTCTCCTTGCCTCATCGAATAGATCTTTGGCCAGTGGTATTGGAAACGACGACACCGACAGTGCGTCACAAACGTTTACCTTAAAATCGAGAAATTTCAATACAGGTGGTCCACGTTTCATTCGAACCAAAATTTGTGTATGGGCCACACCGTCATTGGCCAGGTCATCTTTGTACATAAATTTAACCGTAACGGCATAACGATCCGTGGCCAATTTTGCGAGATGGCAATCCATACGCTTAACAACCTCCGTGTGATTGCAGCTCATGTTGTACATTTCGACGTGGAAACGACGATTGCGGGCCTAAGGTCGGAAAAGGATTATATACAAAAAATACTCTTGATTTTGAATAATTTCCGAAACAATTTTTTATGTTTTTTTTATTTTTATTTACTTATTTATTTATATATATTTTTTTTGAAGAATTGTTTAACCTATAATTGAATAATTTCCGAAACATTTTTATGTTTATTTATTTATTTTTTTTTATTTTTTTTGGTGAATTTTTTTAAACCAGAATCCTTTTTTGTGTTGTACAATTCTTCACTTACAGCCATAACAGTTTCATAGGCAATTTGCAAAATCAGCAACGCAATATAATTTTTCCAATGCATTTTCAAAAAATATCTATACAGTTTTGGATGGACGTCTGTCTAATGCCGTGTAGTTAATATAATTTAAAATATTGAAAAAATAATTTGGTATTGAAAAATAATTTTAGATCCTAACAAAGGCATTTATTGTTCTAATTTTGGAAAATGCAGTCATTACTCCGATATCAATGCAGCAATTATCTGTAGAACAGATGAAAAAATTTAAATGAAGTATGGCTTTGATTGCCATCTGAATTATGGTTAATTAAAAAAAATACAAATAATTGAATAATTGAATTGTTATTGGTTATTGGCTTGATGGTCCTTTACAACCCTTTAAAAACAAAAAAATCGCCGATTATTGGTTGGTAGATCCACATAATATATTTTAAGAAAATGCCCTTTTTAAAATGGGTTATTTAAAAAGTTATATCTCTTATTGCCCTTAGAGATATTCTTAAAACAATATCGAATATAAAGTTAAGAAACTCACCTCAGTCTTAAGTCTTGAAAAAATAATCCCAAAAATAAAGTTTTTAATGACCAAAAAAGAAGGAAAATATTTTTGTGAAAAATTTTTAAGGTAAAACGGAATAGATTTTTTATTTATTTTTTTTTTTTTCAAGAACCTAATAAACGTAATTTATTGAAGAATGTCTTTAAGAAGGTATATATTTGAATATATAATTTCTTTTTAATATACCTTAAAACATATTTTTCAAAAACTTTTGGAAAAATATTTTTGGTCATTTAAAAAGTTAAAAGAAAGACAAATTTGCGACCTGTATATAGTACCCCTACCACATGGTATTTTAATATCAAATTTTAGGATCTCAGCTCTTTTTCTTCTAGCCATAACCCTAACCAATTTATAATTTAGTACCATATGGTACTTTTCGTACAAATATGGGACGCTTTTCCATTCCCACCTCCAAATTTCAACCTCTGATATCTCTGATATTAAGATAACAACAAATTTCAGATTCTTATCTTTATCTACTCGTAATACAAAATATAGTACCATTCAGTACTTTTCATAGATATATAGTACACATTTCCGAAACCACCTCCACATATATCCACGCCACAAATGAACAGCGGCCACAATTCCAAATTTCAGATTTCAAGCTCTTTATCTTCACCCAATTCCGAAATGTACCAAATATGGTACTATTTGGTACTTTTCGTAAAACTTCTACAAATTTAGTACAGCTAAAATTATAAAAAGTCATTTTTTTTTTGGTCCTAAAAAAAAATTATATTTCAAAAACCCCTCTTAGAAATGTTGAAATCTTAGTTTGTAGGAAAAAATAGATTTAAAAAAAAAACCCTTTTAAATAATACACGCTTTGATGGTTCTCGAACAAAATAAAAATTATTTTTATAGGTCTCAAAAAAAAAAAAAAAAAAAAAAAAAAAAAACAACATAACCAGTAAAAAAAGTCTTAAAGTCGGAAGGGGGCCGACTTTATGATACCCTACACCACTTTGCTAATTTAGTAGAGTTTCGCATAACAATTAAAAGTTTTTATGGGAGAATTCAATCATACACGCTATAATTATAATTATAATTTAAAGTTCAAAGGACTAAATATGAAGAACCACTTGTATTTTTTAAATTCGGACTTGTATTGCCCATTTGGTGCACAATTAATTTGAAATCGGATAAAGATATATATGGAAGCTATATCCAAATCGGAACCGATCTCGATAAAATTTGGCAAAGATATTTCTGAGCCGTATTTCATATATTTCCCTGAATGTCGTTGTTACGGAGTGCATATTAGGGCTGTGGGTAACAAATATGACAAATCGGATGCACAGTATATATTGGAGCTATAGCTATATCTGAACCGATCTTCACCAAATTGAACATACTACCTTCTAGACTCAATTCGGTCGTAAGTGCCAAACTTCATCCCATTTGGACAAATATTAGACGATTGGTGCAAAAAAAAAAACTAAATCGGACGAAGTTATATATGGGAGCTATATCCAAATCGGAACCGATCTCGATAAAATTTGGCAAAGATATTTCTGAGCTGTATTTGATATATTTCCCTGAATATCGTTGTTACGGAGTGCATATTACGGCTGTGGGTAACAAATACAACAAATCGGATGAACAGTATATATGGGAGCTATAGCTATATCTGAACCGATTTCGATTAAATTTGGCATACATATTTTCAGGCCTAATTTGGTTGTATGTGCAAAATTCCATACTATTTGGGCTGATATTACACGTTAGGTGCACAATAAAAGGCAAATCGGACGAAGATATATATGGAAGCTAAATCTAAATTTTGACCGATTATCTCCAATTTCAATAGGGTTCGTCCTTGGGCCAAACAAATGATTTGTGCAAAATTTCATCTGGATAGGGCAATAAATGCGAACTGTACTTTGTTTACAAAAATACATGGACAGACAGACAGACGGACGGACATGCATAAGTCGACTCAGAATGTGATTCTATGCAGATCATCAAAAGGAACTATGGGTCTATCTCGTTTCTTGTTGCAAACAAATGCACAAAGACCTAATACCCTGCCCACCTTGTGGTGTAGGGTATAAAATGCAGTAAGTTCGGTCGGGCCGAACTTTGAATACCATTTGGAACAAATTTGGAAATTTTCCAAAAATAAAATCCGTTAAAAATGCCGTTAAAATCTTAAAAACATATTGGGGTCTATACGACGTGGGCCTACATAGGCATTGTTTGTCATAAGCCATTATCATATTCAATTTCGAAATTTGAAAAAAAAGGTGTATATTGCAGCTAAAATCATCAAAATACCGTATATAGGGATATACCGTTATATCAGATCTATACTAAGATCTGGAGCTGCATTTTGAAAATTTTCTGTCACAGGCTGTTGTATCCATCACGAAATAGGGATGTACTGATATATGGGGCCTATACGAAGACTTGGACCTGCATAGACAATTTTCTGTCACAGACTGTAGTATCCATTACGAACTTCAAATACCAAATATGAATGAATTCCGGTGAATAATGTCGCTAAAATTATAAATATACCGAATTACGGGATATTCCCTTATATGGGGGATATACCAAAACGTGGCCTACATGGCCCATTTTCAATACCAAAAGTCCTGCAGACATAATACAGGGTTGCCCATATTCGACGGACCCATCTGGCAACGCCATAACTTTTGACAGAGATGTCACATCGCTTAATGACATACCGCATATGAAGCGTCAGTCCAAGCAGATTTTTACCATGAACCAATACACGCCACTCGAGGGCTCTGAAATAGTTGAAATTTACATTCAACAGAAGAAGTCAATTGTAAAAATTCAACGTGCTTTTAAAACATTAAAAAATGTGAGAAGTGTGCCTTCTAAGAACACCATTAAGCGTTTATACGAAAAATTTTCGATAGGTAAGGCTCTTTCTAATCCAAAGAGGCCATATAAAAGTCGACCAAGGCGATCGGCCTAGAATATCGCTGCCGTCCGAGCCAGTGTTGAGAGGTCCCCAAGAATATCCCAAAAACGCTGTTCTCGGTCCACTTTACAACGGATTATTCGCATTTGTTGCCTGCGGACAAGCCTCGTCGATTGGAATGGGCCCAAAGAGTCATCGAAATGGCCGAAAAAAAAACATGGGTCCGTCGAAAATGGGCAACCCTGTATGTTGGACCTCGAAGAAAAATTAAATGAAATGAAATTTTCTTGGTCTGGTGTTTTTTTTTTAAGTTCACATTTTTTTTGATCTGGTCCTTCAAAGATTTTTTTCTTGGCCCTAGAGTTTTTGTAATTTCGCATTTTTATATCCTACACCACAAGGGGGTCAGGGTATAATGTCTTTGTGCATTTGTTTGTAACAGGCAAAAGCAAACGAGATAGACCCATATTTCCTTTTGATGATCTGCATAGAATCGCATTTTGAGTCGATTTATGCATGTCCGTCCGTCTGTCCGTCCGTCCGTCTGTCCATGTATTTTTGTGAACAAAATACAGGTCGCATTTATTATCCGATTGAGATGAAATTTTCCAAATAATATTTTTTTGGCCCAAGGACGAACCCTATTGAAATTAGTGAGAATCGGATCAAATTTAGATATAGCTCCCATATATATCTTCATCCGATTTCGGGTTAAATGTGCACCAAATATCCACTATCAGTCCAAATTACCTGAATTTTGGCACACCCAACCGAGTTCGGCCTAGAAGCAAGTATATCAAAATTGGAGAAAATCGGTTCAGAAACAGCTATAGCTCCCATATATATCTTTCATCCGATTTGATCTTTAAGTCCCTCACATTCCTACTATGCACTCCACAACCGTGATATTTGGTACCAGGTATTAGATGGAGCACAGAAATAGCTGTTTTAAATTTAATCGAAATCGGTTCAGATTTGGATATAGCTCCCATATATATCTTCATCCGATTTCGGGTTAATTGACCACCAAATGGCCGATATAAGTCCAAATGGACTGAATTTTAGTACATCGGACCAAATTCAGCCTAGAAGCAAGTATATCAAATTTAGTGAAAATCGGTTCAGATATAGCAACCATATATATGTTTCATCCGATTTAGTGTTTTAGTCCCTTACATTCGTAATATTCACTCCACAACCGTGATATTTGGTACCAGGTATTAGATGGAGCACAGGAATAGCTGTTTTAAATTTTATCGAAATCGGTTCAGATTTGGATATAGCTCTCATATATATCTTCTTCCGATTTCGGGTTTAATGTGCACTAAATGGTCAATATCAGCCCAAATCACCAGTCTAGAAGCTAATACGTAAAATTTGGGGAAACCCGGTTCAGAGATAGCTATAGTTCGTAAAATGGGTATCATATAGTCGGCCCCGCTCGACTTTTGAGCTTTCCTTACTGGTTTGGACTTTAAAAAATATTTTTTTATTTGTCCTGGAAAAAAATATTTTTATGGAATCCAAAGTGCTGGCTATACTTCCGTTTTCCCCACTGATCAAACCACCTCCCTATTTTTTATTGATTTCCTCCCAAGTCATAAA